CTTTTCTATCTATATGGGCAAAGTGTATAAAGGAGACTACTTTCCTATAGTCTCTCCTTAGAGCTCTCAGTTCCCTTTCCTTCACTAGTACTAGTCCTCTTTAAGTATAGAGCTTTAGAGTATTGGCTCTGGCTCTTTACTAGCTTTAATAGTCCTTTGTCTTTGTACAAAGTGTTCCTAGCTAGCTATATAGTTTCTCCTCAAGTAAGTATAATATTTTCCTTTTATCTCTTTAGGTTTTCTCCTAGTCTTTTCCTTTATACTTCTTGCTCTGAACACTATACTCTTTCCAGATCCCCTCTCTATACAAGCATTCTAAATGACTTGTCTTTAGTTAAGGTTATTAAGTAATACTGTGCTAGAGTATGTGTTTAACCTTAGAGAGATAAAGACCTTGTCCTTAGGTTTTGTTACCTTTTCCTAACTGACTTAGTACCTACTCCTTCCTGTCCCCTCTCTCTACTAATAGATTGATCACCTATTAGTAATAATTAGAGGTTAATAATGCTGAGCTAGAGTTCTTACTAAGTAGGACAATAAAGGTAGCCTAGTTGATCTGGCCAATCTCTAGACTTGTAACTAATAGAGTTTTGTATATAAACTACTTGGTTCCAAGTCTTAAGTTAAGCTTTTCCAAACTTAGTTACTGTATTTTACAATTCCTAACATCTAGTCCCTCCTAAGTAATACTTTCTTGAACAGTATTACTACTATTGTAAAATACTTGCTTTATAATTGATAGGGCTGGGATTTAATTTTGGGTAGGATTTGTGTCCTTCCCCCCTTTCTGTTTCCTTTGTTTTGTATGTCCTATACTAGTATCTTTTCCTTTAGATACTTTTTCCTTTATAGTCTGCCTCTGTTGTATTCTATATTAAAGTGAATATAAATGCCTTTTCCTTTCATTTTGGCTAATTTTTATAGCCTACTTTTATAGCTGAAAAGTGAGAGCTACACCTGTGAGTATAGTTTTCCTTTTAACAGTTGTAACTAGTTAACTTATTAAAAGGGCTTCTACTTTTATCTTAGTTGCTATAATTCTGCTTTCAGTGTCAGTCTGTAATATGGACTGATGTGTCCTCTGCCTCTCAGTTCTTTACTAGCTAGCTCTAGCTTGACTAGTATTCAGACTCCCTGACTGAAATAGTACACTCTAAAGACTAAATTTAACTGGTGGGAAGTCATTCCCTCTTGTTTGTAGTTTCCAGTTTAGTTACCCTCTTTAGTTTTACTTCTGTTCAGAAGGTGTGTTTAGAGCACCTTATTATATGTTCTTGTGAGTGTAGAGGAGACATATAATATACTAATACCCTTTTTATCCTTGTATTAGGAGTAATTTTCTGATTTACTCAAATCATGTTGTTATAACAATCTAGTACTTCAGATTTGTTATAAGAATAGTTTAATGTCTTGTTCAGGACATTACTCACTCAGTTAAGAGCTACTATACTATAATAATCTAGTACCTTCAGATATATTATAGGAACAGTTTAGTGTCCTGTTCAGGACTTAACTCACTCAATTAAGAGCTACCTTACTACAATTTTCCTTATTGTAGGAATAGTTTACTGTCATATTCAGGACCTACATACTATAATATTCTCATTGTTTAAGATCTATTATAGGAATAGTTTACTGTCATATTCAGGACATAATACTATAATATTCCTGTTCTTTTAGAATTCTTGTAGGAACAGTTTAGAGTTCTATTCAGGACTTTATACTATTATACCTTTTACTCTATCCAGAGTCTGTTATCTCCTCCTGTAGGAGTGACTCCCTTTTTAATAGTTTCCCTTAAGAAGTTCTTGTCTTCCTCACTTTTTACTTTCAAAAAGTAAGCACTCATAACTATTTCTCATGTTCTTCTAACCTATGGTTTATTGACAGCTTCTGCTTCTTCATACTTTGTTATGTACTTTTGTCTTATTTCTTTAATAAGAGCTCTTAGTATCCTGTCTGGATCCATAATATTGTTTATATCTTCTTGAGTGAATTGTGGTTGTATTTACTATTGTCTTTCAAGTTGTTGTATAATAGAATCTTCTAGTATAGTATTGTGTTCCTTCATTTTACTATACTCTTCTTTACAATTAGTATGTTCCTCTTCTAATTGTAATGTTTTTATATAATATGTACTATTGTCTTCTTCAGATTCTGTGTTCTAAGTACTTTTTCTCTTTTTCTGAGGTTGCTATCTCTTGTAATTGTTAATTTGTCTCCTTTTTGTTATTAGAGGTTGGTTTTCTGTAGTAGGTTTGTTGTTCAGCTAAAGTTTTTCTAACCCTTCTCTAATTTCTTTTGTACTTGAATCTGAAGCTAGAATACTAAAGTATTCTAAAGACTCTGATTTCCTTTTCATCCAATCTTTCCACATTTGTTCTTCTTGTAGGATCATGTCTCCTGTATCCTGTTCCTTAACTAGTATTCTTTTACTTATTAGTAAACTATGCCCTAGTCTCTTTGTTAACCAGTTTTCTAAGTGTAGTAGCTTTACTACTGTTGGATGATTTATATGAAATTCCCTGATTAACTTTACTAAATTAGTTAATCCTTTTCTAAATGGTTCCCAAGTATTATCTATGTCTGGATAGTCTAACCATTTGATTAAATATTGATATTTGTTCCTCCTCTTCCTACTATCTAATATGTTTTCTACTGTGTATTCCTATTCCTTGTTGATTAACTCTAGGTCTGGATTAGTATACATTTGTCTTCCTGGATATTCCTTTTCTCTATAAGGTATTAACAATCCTGAGTAGAAAACTGGATGAATATTCATCCCTTCTAGTAGTTTTAACTTATAATTTACTACCCCTATTTGCTTTTCTATTTCAAATGGTCTTATGTACCTATTTGCCAATTTTCTAGTTAGTACTACTAGATTTAAGTTTTTACTATCTAGTAAAACTAAATCTCCTTCCTTTAATTCTGGAAGATTTCCTCTGTGTTTGTCAGTATACTTTTTCATTTGTTCCTGTGATTTCTCTATTACTTCCTTAGTATTTGCTTGTACTATCTTTATTTCCTCTAAGTATTTGTCTGCTTCTTCCACATTTGACTTTCTATAGTTAAAAGTCATATTAGGATGTCTTCCATATATTAGGTAAAAGGGTGTGTGTTTAGTAGCAGAATGTTACTTATTATTATATACAAATTCTGCTGTTAGGATAAACTCCTCCTAATCTTCTTATCTGTAGTTAACATAACACCTTAGATATTGTTCTAGTTCCTAATTTACTTTTTCTGTTTGTCCATCTGTTTCTAGATAGTAAGCAGTTGATAATGCTTGTTTAATACCTAGTTGTACACATATTTGCTTAGTGAAATTACTAGCAAATTGTGGTCTTCTGTCTGTCATTATTTTCAAAGGTAACCTATATTTTGAGAAAACATGTTGTATGAATAACTTTACTGTTTCTTTAGAATCTATTTCCTTTTTACAAGGGATAAAGATTCCCATCTTTGAAAATCTGTTTACAATTATTAGTACTACATCTTTACCAGTTTGTGTAATTAGTAATCCTATTATAAAATCTGCTGTAACATGTTCCTAGGGTCCTGTTAGAATTTTTAATGGTTGTAATGGTGGTTGTATTTTTCCTCTCTTGTGTTTTGTCTTTTGACATATTACACAAGTATCTACATATTCTTTTATCTAGTTAGTTATTCCTGGCTAATAATATGTTCTCTTTACTAATTCCAAAGTCTTTCTGAGTCCTGGATGTCTAGCTATAACACTATCATAATATTGTTAAACAATTCTGACTTTTTCCTCCTGTTTACCTTCCCTTAGTAACAGTATTTTATTACTATAATTAGTTCCTAAGTCTGTTTCTGTAGTTTCTTCTATAGTTGTTGTTTTAATATGTATCTCTGACTCTTTGAACATTTCCTGAGGGAGTAATACAATTTCCTGATTGTCCTTTTCTTCCAGCTCATAGTCAGGTCTTCTAGAGAGTGCATCTGCTCTATTTTTCTTGCCTGCTCTGTATTCTATTTTGAAATTGTATCTGCTTAGTTCTAGTACCTATCTTACTTGTCTCCTGTTTAATTGCTTTTTGTTTTGAAAGGTTTTCAAATTAGACTAGTTAGTTATTATTCTAATTTGATGCTTGGCTCCTTCCAAATAATGTCTCCAGTTTGCTAATGCCTTTATAATAGTATATAATTCCTTATCTAGTGCTACATAATTTCTTTCCTGTTTACTAAAAGTTGAAGAATAATAAGCTATAGAATGTAATTCTTTATCTTCCTGTTCTTGTAATAGTATTACTGAGCATGTAAAGTCTGATACATTAGTTTCTACTACAAACTGCTTTTCATGGTTTAGCCTTACTAATATTAGTACTTTAGCAAATGCTTCTTTTATAGCTTTAAAAGAGGCTTCTTGAGTGTCTCCCTATGTAAAAGTTCTCTTCTGTAATAGTAAACTTGATAATGGTTTTACTTTCCCAGAATAATCTTCTACAAATTTCTTGTAGAAATTAAAGAATCCTAGTATTTTCCTAATATCCCTCTTTGTTAGAGGTCTAGACCATTCTAATATAGCTTTTGTAACGATTGCACTCTTGTGCTGAGTGTGCGCAAGCACGCTCCTTGCTATGAAGGTGTTGTGGGTGCTTGTAGGTGCTTTTTTCGTTATTAGTTAGCCTACTTGTATCTACTACACGTGTAACTGCATATAAAGAGTCTTCGGGCTAAGGGTTAGGGGATTCTTTTCCCCTTCTCGACGCTCGATTACTGATTACCCCAGTCAGTGTATTGAGTGCACTGGTAAAGAAGAGAATCTTCCTCATGTAAGGCTATTCTACATATCCTTACATATTTTTGACTGTATAAATCAATCCCCATCGATCCTGCTGGGTTGTGAGCATTGTCTAGGGTCTGATCAACCCTTGGCATTGTCTCATTGCCTGGCACGAAGAGCAAGTGAGTTTTGAAAGAGATTTGTAAAGAGAGACAGCAACTACTTACTGGTTGGCCCCCAGTGAGCGAAAATGATCTGGAGCATAGTGAAACGCTTCCTGATTGCAACAAAAACCCCTATTGATACAGTTCAATGTCCTAGACATTGCGAGGACCTTCCCAAGGACAACGTTGAAGATGCTGAGCACACATATCCAGGTTTAGAGAACATAGTGAGTAGTGCTAACACAAATGCTGGACATTTAAACTACCTAGGCACTACTTCCTACCTCAAGACAGTGATTTCGATGCTGAAAGGCAACCTCATTGTTCCAGTAAGCTCATATTCGTCTAACAAAGTCCTTACCATTGTCCTAAAGCACAAGTCCTTGTCCCTTGTGGGCTTAAGGCAAAACCAATCACAATCCAGTGATAAGTCCACATCTATTGCAGGCTGGTGGCACACTGATGATCTACCAGGACGTAAGACATTGTCTCTTAGAGGCTGGATGCAACCTGAAGACCAATTACTACTGAAATACCATAGTTACATTTGCATAGCAGTACATAGAACAGAGACTGAGCGAATGAACATGCATATAGGTAGTGCAAAGGGTGAAATGCATGCAAACCACACCCAGGATGAGACCAGCGTTAAGCTTTTCACCAGCAAAGTCTCAGGAAAGAACCATCAGATTGCAGTCGAGGAATCGAGCAATCATGCAAGTGAACAATTAGTACGTACAAGAGACAAGAAAGACACAAGCAAGCTTGCATACCAGGACGAAAAGGATCCATTGGTATTGACTGACAAGAGCAAGTATGTTGCTAGAGAGCATCTAACAGTGATTTTGGAATGGTGCCCTAGTCTAAAAGAACCCCTTGCATTGCCAGGAGGTAAGACCTCAATCACAGAAGATTGGAGGCATCCTGAAGACCTGATCATGAGATATAAGACCTTACCTATCAGAGGCAGAAGGCTTTCAACTTTACTTAGCATACAAGAAAGACAGGTAATGAGTACTGCAAAAGCACATATAGTTAGACAGAAGCACATCATAGGAAGTCCACTCATCATAAGAATAGCTAGCATTGGTACTCAGAGGACTAGCATTGAGGATTCGAGCAGTCAAGTACAGGCAATTGACATTGATGGTTCAGTCAGTCGAGTTCACAGCAAACAAATATATTTAGCTAGCAGCAGCACTCAGGTGATTGCTATCAAGCTTTTTAGCAATCGAGTTCACAGAGAACAGGCAATTAGCTTTGAGGATTCAGTCAATCAATTAATAGAGGCGAACACTGAGAAATCAGTTTGCCAACAAGGATTCAGGCATTGCAACATTACCCTGCATTGAGAGGATTCATTCCAGCAGGCAAAGAGAACGTTCAAAGGTACAAATAGACTAGATACATTGATATATACTAGTAAACTAGTTAGTCCCTTCCATTGCAAGATAGACATTGACAACTTGAACAAGAAAACGTATAGATTCAATAGAATGTATCAGGAGAAGGAGAAGGAAACTCCTACAACAAACAAAGGCAAAGCCCATTGGAACGTACCAAAGAAACACAGTATGTTGTAGGAAAGCAAAGGAAATGATGCCAAACATTCAGCAACAGGCTTAGACAAGAAGCTTGCTACAGGAAATCAGTATTTGCTAACAGAATTGTAAAGTAAACCTGAAGAACAGCTCAGAAATTTGACCAGAAAGAAAGATCCAGGCAAGAATTCCTCAAATCATAGGAAGAAAGCAAAAGCAAACAAGCACAGAGCTTTAGGCACTAGGAACAATGATCAGACAGCATTGAGAGATCACAGTAAGATTGAATCTGTGGTACAGAGAGCCAAATTCGAAGAGATCGAATTTATTCAAGCATTGGAACATTGGGCAATGACCCCCAGAATTGAGAGTCGTGTCAAGACTCCCCAGGCTGTCAACAAAATACTACTTTGTTTCCTACGAAATACACATAGCTCAAAGGCAGAAAAGGTAGAGAAGGACTTACCTTACACTATTGGTAAAGGTACAGACGTCAAGAAAGTGCTACAGGTACAGAAGCACACATATAGTCACCTCATTTTGGTAGAACAAGGATTTATGTACACTTGGATTGCAAGAAGCAATATAAATTCAGATACACCACCTATGAACGTCAAACCAGTTTGTATGAATGCTCTACATGATGGACATTATGATTCAGAAAGTAAGAAAGAGAGCAAGAACGGAACAGGCAGAAATTGCTACAGTACAGTAACTCCTATCAGGCACAGTAAGCATAAGAATAGATTCAAGCACAGAAATACAACCACACAAGATACAGGCAAACTACATAGTGTAACTACATTGTGTACAACTATATTCATGTATGGAAAGACTTCAGGTAACATTGCAAGGAAAAGGTACATAGACTGAGCAATATCAAGTACAGAAACTACAAACTATTGGATCACATGTCTAGAAACAGACCAGAACTACCTACCAGACTTGTTTTACTCAGCAAACTTGTTGAAATCAAGCACGAAAATCAGCAACAATCAAGAAAACATTAGAGATATGGTATTGGAAGCCACAGAGGCTTATACAAGTGAAACTACAGGTACTAAGAGGCTCAAGCGTCCTAAGAGCAGGAAAGGAAACAGAGAATTCCTTAAAGCAGACATACAGATGTAATGCACAATGCACATTGTTTCCACAAAAGATCTCAGAGAAACCAGTCTTTGGAAATACAGCAAATACATTTCAGAAGTCAGTCAATATGTGAAACAAACGGTTTTACAATGCATTTCTCAAGTGCAAGCAAGAATGGCATACAGTTTCAGTAAAGAAAGTGTTATGGACCATTATCTACAGAGAAACAGTATGAATGATGCTAGGCAGACACCTTCACTATCTTTGAACAGATTAGATGACGATTATTTCATCAGCAAGATATCAGGAACAGTACCAGAAGAGTTCTACACACAGAGAGGACCCAGAGGCATGCAAGAACACAAATGCCATCCAGAGGAGCAAGATACACTCTCAAGACATGTTTCTACAAGGGAAATGACCAGTCAGGCATGGAATAGACTACATTCCAAGTACAAACAACATTCACTATTGGTTTATTGGAATCTGCACACAGTTTTAGGCAGAAATTTCATTGTTAGGCTCAAAAATACTGAGAAAATGAGTGAAGAACTTGAAATTTCAAGATATGCAAATACCAGGCATATATTTTACTCTAAGTACTATGGAGAAGACCTTCAGAAAGACCTACAGCAAAGAAATGCACATAGAAACTACTAGAATAGGTATAAGATTCGATCTAAGGACAAAAAGAATGGTTATAGCAACTATAATCATATCAGGCAGTACATACAGTCTTACAGCATAAGACTCAGAGTGAGCAGCAAACCAGAAGACTTCAAATTGAATTGTACAGACTACAATAGGCATACACATGACAAGAATACAGGAATTGGTCTCACAGGCATTCAAAGGTGCATACAAGAAGAATCAGGCTATGTACTAGAGAAAGTACAATGTTTCAATTGAAAGCAAGACTCGTATTATGTCACAAATGGTCGTACACATAGTACAGAAAGAGCTCAGTATATCTCAGAAGCTGGATTACCTTCAGAGAACTTGGAAATCAATTACACTACACTAGGAAGGAGTACAAGAATGCTAGGAAATGGAAGCTATTGGAATTCGAGTATGAACAGTTATACAAACATTCTGCCATTTTCTATATTTCGAATAGATCCACTGGTACAGCAGGCATGCTCTACAGACAGTGAGTATGAATTGAGAACTCCAGAGGAAGACTTATACATGTTTAGCAAAGAATTCAACGCTCTACAACAGGTATCAGGCATAGGAAAGCATGATTCAAGACTGTCATTACACTCAGACTACATAGAAGTACAGATTATATTTGTATATACTCTAGCAAGAGTAAAAGAGCATTCGATACAAAGATACAGACACAGGAACAGACATTTCCACTGTAACAACAAAGAAACAGTATGTTTTGGCACACAGAGATACTTTGAGAAAGGAATATTATATCTTCCAGATTGGAAATGTGACAAGACACTCAGGAGTCAACATTGGCATGATATATTCTATATACCTAGGCACTCAGAGATACATTTAATGAGTAAACACTATTGTGAGCAAGCAAATGAGTACTCATTTGAGGACAAGAATGCTTTTTTACAGTATATTGACACAGTACAACAGTATATTTCATTCAGGAACACATCATATTCATCCATGGACATAACCAATGATTGGAGAACCTTAGCACCAGAGAACAATTTCGATTCTGAATTGTTTGAGTGTATACATGAGCTTTCAGTCAATAAGAAACACCCATCATGTGATGATACATACAGCTGTGTGTGCAACTACTCATACAGATCAGTATATCATGCATATATGCACCTAATAGCCACATATTTCAGTGATTTTGACACAGTTGAACAGTATACAGTGTACACAAAGGATCATAAGGTATTTGTAATAAATTCCACAGGATCTACAGTTGGAATTAGCAACAAAATCATGACAGTGACGATGAATACTTCAGTACTAGTAGATTTCACACACACCAGAGTTGTGGACCGAATTAGTGTTAGAAAAGTCATTCTAGGCAAAACGCTACTTACTCAATCAAGAGTACACAGGTCAGGATCAAGGATAAACTACTGTACCATTGCAAGAATGAAATACAGTTCAAGGAAATTGATACAGCACTTTAATATCAGGCAGTTGGATAACTGTAATATCATACTAGGAACAGTGATTTTTATTCAGTGCAACATTTCTACAGGATTTGATACATCTATACTATGGATTAACAGTGCAATACGTCTATCAAAGACAGGAGAACAAGTCTCAGAGGTATACATCAAGGATATTAACAGTTTCAATCGAGAAACTAAGGAACTTGCACAGGTAATTGACAATTGCAATACAGAATTGTATTAGGAAATAGTGGACATGCCACAACTACCTCTCAGAGTCATCAAACAGATGAAATTTCTCAGTAATAAGGACAAAGAATGTCAGTTTCACAGAGAAATACACTAGGATACTTGGCAAAAACAATTGCAATTCAAGAGAAAGTATTATATCTGCACTAGAAGATTCAGTATCACTACAGAATTGAAAGTAATGACCACACTACTGCTTCAGAAGCTCAGAAAGATCATAGAAGACCCTATAGGACTAAGAACAGTCAGCAATCTCACAGAGCAAAGCAAGGAAACCAAGGAATATTCGTTTCTACCATTAGATATTGGATTTACTAGGCATTCAGCATACAATGGACCTCAGGAGACGCATTTCCTTCGGAAAATCAATACCAAAGTATCAGGGTACGTATCAGGATATTCAGTACTCATCGAAAGACAGACTAGTTGTCTAAGAATTGTCATGGCATTCAAGAACATTGAGAGATACAATCTACAGGATATTGAGGCTACAGTAGATGTGTTAGCATACAAGGACTTAGGAATTATGTAAAAGACAACTTGATACATAGAGAATTATGCTTCAAAATATAGCAACAATGACCCAGAAAGGTTATATCAGACACAGACTAGCATATCTCAGCTTTTAGAAAGAAAATACAGTACATATATTGAGCATAGGACCAGTTCCCTTCAGAAAACATTGCTAGAAGACACAATAGTAGTACATCCACATAGTAGAAAGGCCAGAACAATTTGCAAAGGTATAGAATTGGACCTCCAAACGGAGGGCAAGTCTACTAGGAGTACCATACATTGACTCGAGGCACCAGACAAAGTGAAAGTACTCAGCAAGTTGGATATTCAGCAGACAATATCAGAAACATCACCCTAGAGCAATGAACAATCGAATTTGCAAGAATTCATTCAATTAGCACACAAATTGGATACGAAAATTGACAGACAGGTATTC